AGAGGGTAAGTGGGAGTGGGAGGAAGAAAGGGTTTACAGTGAGCATCTTATTAGTTTTCTAGTTACCTCACAATTCTCCTAGATAGTAATATATCACACAGTTCAAGTATTACTGATGTCAATGACTATCTCATTTTTTCACTCAATATGTTTAAACACTTTTGACAATCTTTAATTCCTAATTTTAAAAATTGTATATGTTTAGCATAACATATAAATAACATCTCTAAGAGGGAACCGATTACAAGGATCTATATGTGACCTCCTCCCTGGGGGACAGACAATAGAAAAGTGGGTGAAGGGAGACGTCGGACAGGGCAGGATATGACAAAATAAACAATTTATAAATTATCAAGCGCTCATGAGGCAATGGGGGAGTGGGGAGGGAGGGGAAAAAAAATGAGGACCTGATACCAGGGGCTTAAGTGCAGAGCAAATGTTTTGAGAATGACGAGGGCAATGAATGTACAAATGTGCTTTACACAACTGATGTATGTATGGATTGTGATAAGAGTCGTATGAGCCCCTAATAAAACGATTAAAAAATAATAATAAATAAATAAATAACATCTCTATAATTTGATCAATGTGATTCTAAGTATATTATGTAACTTAACACATTGGTTTTCAAGCTCATGTGCCTATAAACATTGCCTCATTATCAAATAACAAATGGCAAAAGCCATACTTGGCTCCTTATATAAAACTTATCCATTCTCTCAGTGTTAGGTAAAATAGCACCAACCAGTAGAGGGTTAAGAACAAAGCAAAAACTGATGCTGTCAAATATACTGTGATTCACAGCAGTCCTATCAGTTCAGAGTAAAATTGACCTGTGCTTCTGGGCTGGAACTGTTATGGAATGAGACTGCTGTGTCTTTCTCCTGAGGGAAGGCTGCAACTGGTAGTTTGAAACAAAGGCTTTTGGTTAACAGCTGACCAGTTTAACAGCTACATGATCAGAGATCTTGTCGCTGATGATTACCCACATACTTGTTCCCCAAATGCCAAATTATGGTGTACAGTGCTGTCAACAAAGCAAATGTTTGAAACATCTCATTTGAGGGACAATCTTATAAAAAATTATATGCTATTTGTCTAAATAAGTATCTTTTTCAGGATGGAAATGAGAGATTCTATTAATTATTTAAGCTAAAAATCCTCACTGGTTTAGCATTAATTCCAATGAACAGCAACCATATAGGACAGAGCAGAACCAGCCTGGGCCATTCTCAGGCTGTAAACCCTTACAGAAACAGAACGCCTCATCTTCTTCCACATAGCACTGCTGGCAGGTGAAAATGCCAGCACGTTAATATGTAACACACCGTGACCCCAGGTCTCCTCTTACGCTAAAATGACAATGAGAAATGCTGACTCCCCCATTATAAGAAACAAATTTCTGTAGGAAGCAGCTAAAGATTGGATTTATATTTCTCTAGTTTTCAGGTGAATATTCTCTTGACCGTATCCTATACCTATGTCTTTTTTTGTTGTTCTTGTTTCCACAATGTGTTCTTAATAATTTATTTTATTTTAGTATTGAGAATCTACACCTCAGAATATAACATTTTAAAATGAGATTTCAAAGCTAATCTTTTAATATGACTACAATGATAAAAGATCTATACAAGAAAATTCAAAATCACACTACAAAAACATAAAGGGGTCCTACATGAATAGAAGAATTTACCAAGATCATGAACTATGAAGACTTAACATTGCAAAAAATTCAATACTACACAAATCTACAGATATAATGCAATCCTGATCCAGACTCCAGTACTATTCTATAAAGAGATGAAAAATATGAATCACCAAATTTACATAAAAATGAAAAATATCCTAGATAAGCAAAGTACTACTAAAGAAGAAGAACAAAGTAGGAGACCTTTCACTTTTTTATGTGAAAACCTACTGCACAGTAATTTTAGTCTAGACTCTAGAATTAGTATGATAGATACTAAGCCAGTTGAATATAACTGAGCACCCAGAATTAATCCATCTACCTATAGACAGCTGATCTTTGACAAAAGACCAAAATACATTAAACAGGGAAGACATAAGCAAACACCTTTAGAGAATGAGTCACTGAGCCGGGGACATGATCAACTGGCATAACGTAGTTCACAAAAGCAATATTGGTAAGTAGTGATTAGGGTCTCAAAAGCTCATGAGTGGCCATCTAAGTTATAACTATGGGTCTCTCCTTGTCCACAGGAAAGAATAATGAGAAAAATGAAAGTCACGTGGAAAACAGTATTCGATGGTTCCATGAGCCACACAAACATCAGTCTTTATGACCTTGCTACCTGGTGCCTGGTGTCTGTCAACCTAGCAACAGCTCATCACATTAGGTGGTCTTAAAGAGTGTGGGAGAAAATTGAGGAACAAATCTCACAATCCTAAAAGATACCAGGCTTACTGGTTGGACAGAGACTTATGGAAACACCGACACTAAGGTTCTTAGTTGTATATTAGGTCTGGAAATGGACTCATAGCCAAGGTTAAAGTCTCAAACAAACAACCAAACAGGTTTATTGGAAGAACTGTAACACTAATGAGGTTTGCACACCTTAAAATAGTCAACTGTCTAAATCAAAATGGCAGTATTTACCTAAGTACAAAGTTCAGAAGGGTGAGGGAAGAAGGAAAACGAAACAGAAAATGAAATGGGGTGACTGATGGTACACTGACGAGACTGCAATGAGTAAGACAAACAAAATCTGTATGAATTGTCGAATGTAAAACTGATGATCTGCTTTACAAGCCTTCAGCCAATCCCAATTAACACTTGAAAAAGTTCTTTTTTTCAGCACTATATAGAATGAAAAATTTTAATTCTGAAAAGCACTGAACTTCAGGAAAATAAATGGTCCAAATACATATAAGTACAAATCAGAAAATAATTCTAAATACTACAAGGTACTTGAACTAACAAAGTATAATGGACAAATTTGTTAACGTTAACAAAATACAGTAGGGGGGGCGATGTTACATATAAAAATCCTAATAAGTGAAGGAATTTGTCATAATTTCTCTGGAGATGAAAGGGGCCATGTCAGATGACCTGGGTTCCCTTCTGAAAATGGTTTTCATGCATCAGCCTAACACTTTATAGTCAAGGTTTTCCTAAAAGCTGTTTAATAATCAAGCCATGTTCCTACTTGATTATATTGCAAATACTTTACATGTTTGCTGGGCAGAAGTTTTAAATAATTATAAATTAATAGAAAAACAATTCAGCAATGTATCACTAGGACTGAATGCTACTCAAAGTGCAAGACTTTATTGAAACCTAACGTTTTAGCATCACAATCTTTGTGATGATCTGCTTTCAGGCAGTTTCCTATATCAAGATGATGAAAGTTCTATACTCAAGCATTTCCTCTCCTAATTTGTTTTTCCCCAGTAACTATGGCTACATAAAAACCAGCCCCATTTAAAAAAAAAATAAACCAATTTAACTAACAATAACGTACAAAACTCAAAGTTTTCTGTTTACACTGTAGTTAGTCCGCAATGTAAACACACTCAAGTTGAGAAGAACCGCATAATGTTGTAGCGCATCATTTGTTGCTGCTATCCTTCTCAGGTGTTCATTCACAGACCATCACAGACCACTCAAAATCCTGCTACAAGGCAGGACATGGCTTGTTCTACCACAAAATCTGTCAGTCTTCATGCAGGAAGTAAAAATGGTTAGAAAGTTGCACAATGTCAACTCTAACAACATACAGTAGTTGAACTATGGACTCTGAAGAGCCATTTTTATAACACTGACACGGGACTTCACTGGAAGACTTTTTCAGTGCATCTGGAACACTGCATTTTCTTGGGAAAGAGTTAAGGGAAGATGCATACAAGGGATCTGGGAAAGAATTGATGAGTATGTGAACAAGTTCCGAGCATTTGATAAGGACAGTATTAGAAAAGCCAGCATCCACACAGCAAGTATGCGGAATTGAGAACCCAATATCACTGATGCCAGACAGCTCATGGATCACAAAGAAAGAGGGCTGAAATGTAAGGAAGGACTTAACAGATGTTGAAGAAGAAAAAGATAATGAGGCAGTGGAGGGAGCGAATTTGTCAAGACAATTTTACAATGAAAGAACTAACTGGAGTTTTGTTTTGTTTTGTGCTTCCTGCACTAAATAGGGGCCTACAATTTGCTTGAAAAGGTGGACCCAAATGCTGCTCAATTTGCCGGAAGTAGTGAGATGTTACTATAAAGTTTATGAAGAAAAAAAAGAAATGGATCATATAGACAACTCAAAATAATATTACGCCAAAAACACACTATGGTAATTCTCAGGTATGATACAGATAAACAAGAAGTCTTCCCAAGTGGAATTATTACTGCAACTGACTAAGTGCCAATCATATCCAACTCTTCTTCATTCTTGAGTTCAACTTTTATGCTCTATGTATATTTTATATATTTATGTGTGCACTGAAATGTCTGTAAAGCTTATATGTAATACAATTACCCCTCAAAGACAAATAAAGACACATCATGGTTTGCAATTCGAAAGCCAGGGCTTTGCACTGCTCTGAACCATTTTATAGCAAAGACACTGGAACAGAAACCTGTCAAGAATCACAAGAATCAGAAACTATCAAAGAAAGACAATTATTAAAACTCATTTTTAAGGGTATATCCAGTAAAATAAATCATTTCTTTTGTATCTCACTTTTTAGAAAATTACTCCAAAATGACCTTGAGTTGCAACATATAAAATTTCACTGCAAAAAAGGGGTAAAATACAACTAAAATAACACAAAAATGAATCATCATTCTGAAATACAGGTGAAGAAAAATTTATATTTATAATATATTAATACAAAATAAGTCAGTCATATAAAAAGTTGAGATTCATGAGATAGCATTCAAGTTTGGACATTATGCTGCAGATTTCATGAAGTAATTACCCACAAAGCAATCATATGTAAGAGATTATTGCAGATCTCTCGTTAAAAATCTTTAGCAATTTTACCTTTTGGTTTCGGGGTAAATCTTGAGGATTTGATGGAGGTTTGTAACTCAGGACTAATCTTCTAAATTCCAAAAGATTGAACAATGACTGAAAAGGAACAACAATAATTTAAGAAAACCTAAAGGGAAATCCTATTAACAGAACTAAAACAATATTACATGTTTTAAAAAATTATTTTGACAATAATATTCCTTTAACACAAAATTGATGCAACTATTATAAGAATGCCAATTTTCTTTCCCTTGAAAAATTGTATTTCTGATATTTTGAGCATTGGCAATATTTATTTGACTGCAAAGCAAAGATTATAAATGAACATTTTAAAAATTCTAAAAATCTGATTTTTGATACTAGAGTAACAAACAATTTCCTCAAAGTGAAAATGTAAACAAGCAGACATATTATGGTTATCTGGGGTTATGTTAGTATCAGTAATTCCATAGAATACCAGACTTGAAAGTCCCAGTCTTAGCATCCTAAGTATACATCCAGAAGAACTGTAGACAGTAAAGCAAATAGGAATCTGTATACCAATGTTCACTGCAGCACTTACCACAAGAGCCAAAAAGGAGAAACTGAAAAATAGATACATAAAATTTGGCATATACACGTTTCAGAATATTACTAAGCCATAAAGATTCATGGTACATGCCACAGCATGGTTAAACCTTGAAAATATCACCCTGGACAAAATAAGATAGTCACTAAAGGGTAAGTAATGCAGGTTACCATGTATATGAAATAAGCAAATATATAAAAACCCGAGATCATTTAGCAGTTAGCAGGGATGGAAGTAAAGGGTAAAGGGCATTAAGGTTAGACTAATGGATGAGAAAGACTTGGACAGCAAGCATGGATGCACCACTGGAAGAATACTATTAATGTCAAGGAAGTGTACTTGTAGAATTTGTTGAGATGGTCAATATTTTGTTTTGCATATTTTCACAAAAAGTTTTAAAAATATATTGAACCAATAAATGTATGAGCCTAATGCTATATGGATAGTGTCACAAAGATGGTACAAATGAAGAGGCTTCAAACAGTGTGCTAAAAATGGGAGTATAAACTGATGGTGGAGCTCACTGGTATACACACTCCCGAGGCTAAAAGGAGACAGACATAATTGAAATAATAGAAATGAGGTTACAGGACTATGGTACTAAAACAATGCAAGAATAGTAAGGAGAGAGAGGAGAGTATGTGCTCACAAAAGAGAAGGGAACAGGAAGGAAGGAGGAACTTCAAGAAAATCAGATGCCAAATGTGTTACAGATGGAGTATCACATGAGATTCAGATGTGTATCAAGAATCACTTATAAGGTAAAAATTGAAATATCTAGGGATAGATCCGACTAAAAAAAAACCAAAAGATTTGTATGAGGAAAATTATAAAACACTACTACAAGAAACCAAGAGTGACCTCAACAAATGGAAGAACATCCCATGCTTGTGGATTGGCAGACTCAATATAATAAAGATGTCAGTTCTGCCCAAGGCACTTTAAAAGTTCAATGTTATCCTGATACAAATACCACCAGCCTTTTTCAACGAAATGGAAAAACTGATTACCAACTTCATATGGAAGGGGAAGAAGCCCAGAATTAGCAGAGAACTCCTCAAAAAGAAGGACAAAGTGGGAAGGCTTGCTCTACCTGACTTTAGCACATATTATGTGCCCACAGTAGTCAAAACAGTGTGGTACTAGTATGACAGATATTCAGACAAATAGAAAAGAGCTGAAGACCCAGAAATAAAAACATCAGCATACAGGCAACTGGTCTTTGATAAGGGCCCAAAAAATATCAAATGGGAAACAGATGCCCTCTGCAATAAATAGTGCTGGAAAAAATGGATATGTACCTGCAGAAAAATGAAGCAAGACCCTTACCTCACTCTATGCACAAAATAAACTCAAGGTGGATCACAGACCTTGAGATAAAAACCCAAACAATTAGGACCATTATTCAGGGAATTGGGACAAACCTGAGAACCTTGGCACAGGGAATACATAGGCTATCAGAAATAGGGAAGGATACAAACACGGAGGAGGCACAAATTGACAAGTTGGATATACTGAAGATAAGTCACCTGTGTACATTGAAAGAATTCACCAAGGGAGTAGTAAGAGAGCCCAACAACTAGGAAAACATCTTTAGCAATGACTCATCAGACAAAGGCCTTATTACTAAAATCTACAATACTTTGCAAGCTTACAATGAGAAAAACTAACTCCCCACTGAGGGGGTGGGCAAAAGACCTGAACAGAAGTTTCAGAGTCTGAATTCTGAATCGCCAATAAACATATGAGAAAATGTTCCCGATCATTAGCCATAAGAGAAATGCAAATCAAAGCAACTACGAGATACCACCTAACACCCTCAAAGATAGCCTAATTCAAAAAATCATAAAGCCACATGTGTGGGAGGGACTGTGGTGATATAGAAACCCTCAGCCACTGCTGGTGAACCTGTACAACCCAGCAATGCTGGGCATATACGTAGAAGAGGCCAGAAACAAACCACAGTCAGACATCTGTGCTCCAATGTTCACAATTTCAAGGAGTTGGAAACAACCCAAATTTCCATCAACAGACGAATGGATTAAAAAACTGTGGTACATACATACAATGGAGTACTATGCATCGCTAAAAAGGAGTGATGAATGTATGAAGCATATTGACACATGGGAAGAACTGGAGGAAATTGTGCTATGCGAAGTAAGCCAAGCACAAAAGGACAAGTACAACATGAGTATGCTGAGGTAAGTTTATAAAAAAAAAAAAGAAAAGAAAAATGCAGAAGGGGCACAGGGAAATAGCTACTGTATGCAAACACTCCAGGGGTGAGGTCCAGGTAGTATGGCAGGGGCCAGACCAAATCCAGGGGTACATATGGTAGCCACCTAAAAGGGGGGGGGGAGGGGAAAAAATGACATGTGTGGCAGGGGAATAGGGCACTGACCCACCCAAGGGTAGCGTATTGTTTGTGTCTCTACGGGGAAAAGGGGACCAGACTTAAATTCTGTGTTCTGGGATGCAGATGCAGCATGCTGGCATGGAGAGAGGAGCCAGTGGAGGAGCCTGAGGGTTTGGCCCCCATACCAGATATGTGGACAACTGCCCCTCCCTCCAGAAGAATGTACTTTAGGGGACCACACTGAAGCTGCAGCTAGGGGAGAGGGGCATGTCTGATCAGAGCACATGGGAGCAAATGAAGGGGGAGGAAGAGAGAATGGAGCACATCCTGGCCCACCAGGCCTGGAGGATGATATCCCTGCTCAGAACAGCCAATGCACAGAGTGGACCATATGGCTGAGCCCACTATGAGACACGACGTCCCTCATTGACCCATGGCCCTACAGGGGACAACACTGGAGACTCAGTGTCAGGATTGGCCCCGTCTGACCCCATGACACCAAGGCAAAACACTAAATGAGTGCAGCAGAGCAACTGGGGGGACTGTGGGGAGCAGAGTAGGGAGCTCCCAAGGGAGTCCAAAGGAGACTTTGGGGCCAAAGCATGGCACCCCATCAGACTTGAGGACACACCTAGAGGTCAAAAATCAGACTTAGAGGTCAAAAACCTTACAGGTTTTTCTTTCTTTTTTTAATTAAAAAATATTTTTTTCTTTTCATTATTTTATTTGCTTTTAAATTTTTTAATTAATTTATTCTCTTTTGGGTCATTGGTTTCCTTTTTTGTTGTCATCATTGTATTCTCTTTTGTCATTTTGTCTTGCTATGCCTTGTTTTTTGGTGTACATTATCTCTGCAGATCTATCTAGATAAGATAGATCTTATCTTATGAACAGGCTGGAGAGAAAACAATGGGACTGATATTTCCGGGGGGACATGGGATAAGGGGAGGCAGGGGAAAGGAGGTGGTGTTGATGAACCCAGGGACAAGGGAGCAATAAAAGTGATCCAAAATAAGTGGCAAGGATGGCGTGAGAGACTTGGTAGGGATACAAGAAGGGCAATGTAATTGTGGAGCGAAATTACTGAAACTCAAATGAAGGCTGAGCATGATAGTGGGACAAGAGGAAAGTAAAAGGAAATAGAGGAAAGAACTAGGAGGAATAGGACATTTATAGAGGTCTAAATACAGGCATGTTTATAGTATATATATTTATATAGGATGGTGGGGAAATAGATCTACGTGCATATATTTATAGGTTTAGTATTAAGGCAGCAGATGGACATTGGACTTCCACTCAAGTACTCACTCAATGAAAGAACACCTTCTTCTATTAAATTGGCATTCCATGATGCACATCTTCCCGACATGATTGCTGAAGACAAATGTGGGCATAGAAAATGTGGTGACAAAAGCTGATAGTGCCCAGCTATCAAAAGATATAGAATCTGGGGTCTTTAAGGCTTGAAGATAAACAAGCAGCCATCTAGCTCAGAAGCAACAAAGCCCACATGGAAGAAGCACACCAGTCTGTGTGACCATGAGGTGTCAAAGGAATCAGGTAACAGGCATCAAAGAACAAAAAATCATATCATTGTAAAGGAAAGTGAGTGCAGAGTGGAGACCCAAAGCCCATCCATAGTCTACTGGACACCCCCTTACAGAAGGGTAACAGGGAGGAGAGCAGCCAGTCAGGGTGCAGGGTAGCAATGATGAAAGACAATTTTCCTCTAATTCCTAAATGCTTCCTTCCACCACCACCACCCACTCCCCACTATCATGATCCGAATTCTACCTTACAAATCTGACTAGACCAGAGGATGTACACTGGTACAGATAGGAACTGGAAACACAGGGAATCCAGGATAGATGAACCCTTCAGGACCAGTGGTAAGAGTGGCGATACCGGGAGGGTCAAGGGAGGGTGGGGTAGAGAGGAGTAATGGATTACAAGGATCTACATATAACCTCCTCTCTGAGGGACAGACAACAGAAAAATTAGTGAAGGGAGACGCCGGACAGTGTAAGATATGACAAAATAATAATAATTTATAAATTATCAAGGGTTCATTAGGGAAGGGGGAATGAGGAGCTCATACCAAGGGCTCAGGTTGAAAGCAAATGTTTTGAGAATGATGATGGCAACAAATGTACAAATGTGCTTGACACAATG